CCAGATCAAAGGCACAGAAAACATTTCAACAAAATCATAGAAGAAAATTTTCCTAACCTAAAGAAGTATACAGGATACCAAAAAGGAATGGCTCAGAAAAGAAATTCTTCTCAGCATATGAGAGTCAAAACACATTCAGGGAATCTGCATGGATCCTATACTGTTTTTCCAGCTAGCAGACTAGAGTCCTTGATCAGGTCAGCAGTTTCTATGTGTTTCTCCAGCCTGGTCTTGACCGTTTTGCTCAACACTCCTCCCTGTCTGTAACTGGATTCCAAAAGTTCAGCACAGTGTTTAGCTGTGGGTGTCTTCTTCTGCTTCCATCAGGTACTACATGAAGGCTCTAAGATTGCATATAAAGTAGTCATCAATCTCATTATTGGGGAAGGACATTTAAGGTTGCTTCTTCACTACTGCTTAGATTGTTAGATGGGGTCATCCTTGTATATTTATCCCTAGTATAAGAATGGACTTTGGGAGGCCATTCTACATAGAGGGATACTCCCTCAGCCTGGACACATGGAGGAAGGCTGGGCTCTGCTCCAAATGATATGCCAGACTCTGCATGAAAGGCCCCACCCTCCCTGGAGAGCAGAAAGAGGATGGGCTGGAGTTTAGTCAGGGGCAGAGGTGCGGACAAGGGAGGCCATGAGGGTGTAGGAACTGAGATTGATATGTAAAACAAGCTTATTTCTAATTTAAATATGAGTTAAAAAAAAAAGGAGTCAAAACACTAAGCACAAAGAACAACACAAAAAGAATATCAAAACCTGTGAGAGAAGAAGGGCCTACAACTCTAAAAGACTGCAGGGGCCATACTATGCTATTATACCCAGTAAAATCACAATAGATGGACAAATTAAGATACCCCATGATGAGACCAAATTTAAGCAATGTCTACCTACAAATTCAGTTCTACAGAAGGCACTACAAGGCAAACTCCAACCTGAAGATGTTATCCACATCCAAGAAGACAAAAGGAATAAATATAAATAATCCCACACCAACAAAGCAAAAGAGGTGAAACACACACACACACACACACACACACACACAGAGGGAGAGGGAGGGAGAGAGAGAGAGAGAGAGAGAGAGAGAGAGAGAGAGAGAGAGAGAGAGAGAGAGAGCGCACCACTCTCACTACCACCACAGCACACCAATAAAACACATAGGCAAATACTGGGAATAAAAATATTACTGCTCAACATCAATTCACCAACCTAAGACACAGAATGGATGCAAAACAAGCTCTATCTTTCTCCTGCATCCAAGAAACACTCTTTAACATCAAGGACAGACATCGCCTCAGGGTACAGAGATGGAAAAAGGTATTCCAAGCAAATGGACACAAGAAAAAGTTGATGTATCCATTTTAATATATTGCAAATACAGACTTCAACCCAAAACTAATCAGAAGAGATAAGGAAGGTCATGACATACTGATCAAAGGAAAAATCCACCAGGAGGATGCTGCAATTATTTTTTCCCTCAAGTATAACATTTTATTCCATTTGTGTGAATGTCCAGGTTAGTTCAGTTCAAAGACAGCATGGAAAATGAGTTGTATACAGGAAAAGGGAACAGAGGGAAATGTAGGAGAAACTTCTAAACCAGTTCAAGGCTTCTTTTGGAAATCATTTCAAGTTTGTCATTTAGTACCCCTCTGTACACTTTAAAGAGGAGAATTCTATACTATGTGTACCTTAATTTCCACCATTAAAAACATTAAAGGCATGCCTATCTAGAGGACAATACCAGCTGGTGAGCTCACCCTCAGGACCCAGTATAAAGCCTGAGTCATAATCAGAATATTCAACCAGTGCAGAGTCTGAGTGAGGGGATGCTTGTATGATTTCAATGGTTTGTGTACCTGGTCCCATACTTCTTTCTGGACAGATCTCCTTGATGAGCATAGAGGTGCCCATGACTCACCTCTGGGCACAGGGATAGATACTGACATAAATAATGTGAAGAACCAATAATATATAAAATGTTGGTTCTTAGAGAAAATTAAAACAATTAACAAACCCTTATTCAAAATAACTAGAAGACAGACAGTATATATCCAAACTAACAAAAATAGCCACGAAAGGCAGACAACAGACAATGAGCAAATCCATAGAATCTAAGGACATATTTTAAAAACCCATACTCCACTGATATGGAAAAATCTAAAAGACGTTGATAATTTTATAAAGACATATCACTTACCAATGTTTAATTAACATCACATAAGCCATTTGAACACACCTCTAAACTCCATGAAATAGAAGCAGTCATTAAAATTCTCCAGCCAAAACAAAGCTCAGTCCTGGTGGGTTTCGAATCAGAATGCTACCAGACTTTCAACGAAGAGTTAATGTCAATACTCCTCAAATTATTCCATGAAATAAAAGCAAGAACCATTGCCCAATTGATTTATGAAGCCACTGTTACCATGATACCCAAACCACATAAAAACCATACAAAAAAGAGAATTAAGACCAATTTCCCTTATGAACATAGATTTAAATTTTCTCATACAGTACTTGCAAGTTGAATTGAAAAGCACATCAAAAGATCAGCCATCATGATCAAGCAGTCTTCATCACAGATATGCAAAGCTGGTTCAACATATGTGAATGAATAAATGAAATCCACCATATAAACAAAATGAAAAACAGAAATCATGTGATCCCATCATTACCCCCAGAAAAGACCTTTGCCAAAACCCACCACCACTACAAAATAAAAGCCCTGGAGATATTATGAATACAGGGAACATACTTCAATGTAATAAAAGCAGTTTATATCAATTCCACAGGCAACATCAACTTAAATGTAGAGAAAAATCAAATAATTTCCAATAAAATCAGGAATAGGACAAGGTTGTCCACTTTCTCCAGACCTATTCAATGTAGTACTTGAACTCTTAGCTAGAGCCATAAGGCAACTGAAGGATATCAAGAGGATATAAACTGGATAGGTAAAAGTCAAACTATCTCCATTTGCAGATGATATGACAAGCGTATTTCAGTGTCCCTCATAGGCCCTCTGGAAACTCCACCAGCTGACACACACTTTCAGCAAGTGGTTGGATACAAGATTAACTCACAAATCTGTGTCCTTCCTATATACAAAAGACAAACTGCCTGAGAAAGAAATCAGGAAAACAACACTTTTCACAACATCCTCAAACAGCATGAAATATATAAAACTCTAACTCAGGAAGTAAAATATATGAAGTTTAAAGTTTGAACAAGATACCAGAAAGATGGAAAGATCTCCCAAGAACATGGATAAATAGGATAAATAAAATAAAAATGGCCACCCCACCAACAGCAATGAACAGATTCAATGCAATCCCAAAAATACTCTAACACAATTCTTCACATCATTTGACAGGAATGCTTTCAGCTTCATATGGAAACAGGAAAAACCCAGGATAGTTTAAAAGTATATTTAAAAAATATTTAAAAAATACAAGGGCTGCAGGATGTATGACCACCCCTGAGAGTCTTGAATATTCTATTGAGACTGGTGATTTCAGTTTACAGAACACAGGGCAGACGCAGTGACCCTGCTACAGGAAACACTGGGAGCAGTCAAGTAGAAAAGAAACACTAAGAAGGACAGCTAACCTGGATCCCTTGGCAAACCAGGCATAGGAGAGGGGCTGGAGAGATGACTCAGCAGTTAAGAGCACTGTCTGCTCTTATGGAGGACCCGGGTTCAAATCCAAGCATTCACATCATGTCTCACAGCTCAGAACGTTCTGGTAACTCTAGTTCTAGGAGATCTGACTCACTCTTCTGGCCTCCAGGGGAACTAGGCACACAAGTAGTTCACAGATATTAATTCAACCAAAACACCTAGAGCACCTTTGAAGTGACTAGGGGTAAAAAGATTATGAGATAATCATAGATTCTGTTAAACTACTTAAGATCTATGAACTATATAAAACATGAGATAAAAATATTTTCAAATTTAAACAATCAAAATATTTCAAAACTATACTAACAAGGGTAATGGAAAAATCAACCATTTCTGTATTGTATTTATTTTATTCATGTATAGGACCTGTTTGTGAATGTAAGTATGTATGTGTCTTGTGTCCTCAGAGGTGAGAAGGAGACATGGAATTCCTGGAGGTTGAGTTATGGATGGTTGTGAATCACCATGTGGATGCTGGGAACGAAAGTGAGGTCCTCTTCAAGAGCAATAAGTACTGTTCATCAGTGAGCTGTATTTACAGTCCCTTGAATAATTCTTAATGTAAATACATTTATAAATACATATATATGAAGATATATGGTCATTTATAAAACACAAAAAGCGGCCTATGTTTAAATATAATATTGATTTAATTACTGAAGAAATTAGATTTTTTTGAGATCCATGAGAAATATTATATAGTTGGTGTGTAAACTGAATGGAAATATGCAAACAACCAGGGTGCCTGTGAGCTGTTTGTCACAAAGCTGGTGACAGGGGTGTGAGAGAAATATGTGGGTGACTTTTCTGTCTGCATGAAATGGAATCTAAAGAAAAAGAGGTTACAGTTCACATTCCAAATCACTGAAGGTCAGCAATGAGCTTTCTGTGGGTGAAAGACACTTTTTGTTGGTATAAGACAACAGTTGGTCTCCATAGCTCCACGAAAGGAGGAGCAGGCAGGGAGCAAAGCATTCTCAATACATTCAACAGGACCTGCAGAACCTAAATTGGTGAGTAACTGAGATACAGTGAAATAAGGACTTATTTCCTATTCAGATCAAGTCAAAACTAGAGCTGGAACATTTTTTAATGACTAAAGTGAGCCAAAGCTGCAACCTCAATATTTCATAACATTTTTGAATAATCTAGGTGTGACCTCACTGTTTGTAAAGCCCTGACCTTCCCAGTCCTCAAGCTTACCTTCAGGACCTAGCCCAGCCCATCTATACCATATATAAGCAGCTGCCCAGAGCCTACCACTATTATCTGCCAAGCTCTGCCCTGCAGTTCCTGTACTTCACAGACTTCTCATCTCTAGGAACCATGTCTACCAAAACCACCATCAGGAGTCAAACCAGCCACAGAGGCTTCAGTGCCAGCTCAGCCAGAGTGCCAGGGCTCAACCGTTCTGGCTTCAGCAGCGTGTCTGTGTGCCGCTCCCGGGGCAGCGGTGGATCTGGGGCTGTGTGTGGTGGAGCTGGCTTTGGCAGCAGGAGCCTCTATGGTGTGGGGAGCTCCAAGAGGATCTCCATCGGAGGGGGCAGCTGTGGCATTGGAGGAGGCTATGGCAGCCGAGTTGGAGGAGGCTTCGGCTTTGGAGGAGGAGCCGGCAGTGGATTTGGATTCGGTGGTGGAGCAGGCTTTGGTGGTGGCTATGGGGGCGCTGGTTTCCCCGTGTGCCCCCCTGGAGGCATCCAAGAGGTCACCGTTAACCAGAGCCTCCTCACCCCTCTGAACCTGCAAATCGATCCCACCATCCAGCGTGTGAGGACTGAGGAGCGTGAGCAGATCAAGACCCTCAACAACAAGTTTGCCTCCTTCATCGACAAGGTGAGACTTGGTTCTTTCTAGAGCAGCCAACATGGGGGTAGCCCTGGAGGGAATGCCAGAGGCAGTGGTGGAGGGAAGATACTTTAGGCTTTGCTCTAACACTGCCATGATTTCTGGTTGACTCTGTCCTGGCTTTGATTAGGCTTCAGTTAGACTAGCAGCTGGCAATCAGGGAAAGAGTTCTTCGTGTCCAAATGCCCCACAAGGGTGCCTGATTCAGGTGGGCTGGAATGATCTCAGGATTCACAACAAAGAGGACAGTACTGAGAGAAAAGCTTCTACAGGGCAATTTGGGAGCCATCCCAGCCACACAAAACTGAACCACAATCCAGCTTGCTTCTTCTCTGCTTCCTATGCCCTGGCTGAGAGCTCTGCCTTCCTCAGAGGGATGTTGGGAACTTCACTCTGGGTGGTCTGTCTCAGACCTATGGCCAGGCACAACATACACTGAATTGGTTTAGTCTGAGCCTGAAACAGGTGTCACATTAGTGAACAGTCACTGAAGAATGAAACTCAAATTTCTGCTCACATGTGACCCAATCAGGTGCGGTTCCTGGAGCAGCAGAACAAGGTCTTGGACACCAAGTGGGCCCTGCTGCAGGAGCAGGGCACAAAGACTGTGAGGCAGAACCTGGAGCCATTGTTTGAGCAGTACATCAGCAACCTCAGGAGGCAGCTGGACAGCATCCTTGGGGAGAGGGGCCGCCTGGACTCAGAGCTGAGGAACATGCAGGACACAGTGGAAGACTACAAGAACAAGTGAGTTAAAGAGAAAAGAAAAAAATTGGTCATGATAATGGAGGCTCAAATTTGGACGTGGATTCCATGAATTGAAATAAGGTTTCATTAAGGTAAAATGACACATTATTGTAAAGAGCAGGAGACTAAGAACATGGAGTTTCATAGAAACCTCATGGAGAGGAAAGGAATGAATTATTCAATAACAACAGAATCACCTTTAGTGTGATTTTGGACATGTTACATTTGTACACATTGGGGCTGGGTCCCAGGCTGCCTTTGATGTCATTTGCCCGCTGGCTAAAATGTAATACGCCCTCCCTCACTTAGATATGAAGATGAAATCAACAAGCGTACTGCAGCAGAGAATGAATTTGTCACCCTGAAGAAGGTGAGCTGAGAAAGTCACCTGATAGAAGGAAATGCTTTGCATGACTGGTCCATTTCAGAGCATGGTTGGGAGGGAGAAAATGGACAGAGCAAGAGATTTAACCTGATGCCATGTTGTTGACTGTTACCTCAGGATGTAGATGCAACCTACATGACTAAAGTTGAACTGCAAGCCAAGTCAGACAGCCTGGCAGATGAGATCAACTTCCTGCAAGCTCTCTATGATGCAGTAAGTCACCCTTGTCTTTGTCTGTCTGTCTCTCTGTCTGTCTGTCTGTCTGTCTGTCTGTCTGTCCCTCTCTGTCCTACTCCCTCTTCCACTCTGCCCCCATTGCCATCACTTTCCCCTGTGCAAATGGAGAGTGGGATGTTGGAAACATCTGTAATCCTCACATCCAAAGCTGATGTTGTCTCTTTCATTCTGTAGGAACTGTCTCAGATGCAAACTCACATCTCAGACACATCTGTGGTCCTCTCCATGGACAACAACCGCAGCCTGGACCTGGACAGCATCATTGCTGAGGTCAAGGCCCAATATGAAGAGATTGCTCAGAGGAGCCGGGCTGAGGCTGAGTCTTGGTACCAGACCAAAGTGAGTATTGAGTTGGAGGCTGATGAATACCTGGGACACACAATGAATTTCATAATTTCTGATGCCATAAGAGGTTAGAGATCTGCTAAGAAGAAATGGGTTCTCTTACAGCAAATGGACCTTGCACTTAACTAACAGAATTATGTTGAAATTCAAGGGTCAAAAGAACCCAGAGGTAGAAGAAAGTTTATATAAATTGGGTCCATGCTCTCCTTGCTTGATCTATACTGGAAATAAGAGTCCTCATGAGATTGCACAGAATATTTTCAGTTCTCAAGTGAGCTATGTAGTCCATGTTCTCCTACAGCTTCTCCTGAAAAAAGCCATCAAGCTGTAATAGTGCAGGTCATCTAGAACTGAATTTGCTTTTGCATGCAAAGCTCACACAAATGTTATCTCTTCAATTGCCCTTCAGTACGAGGAGCTGCAGGTCACAGCAGGAAGACACGGGGATGACCTGCGCAACACCAAGCAGGAGATCGCAGAGATCAACCGCATGATCCAGAGGCTGAGATCTGAGATCGACCATGTCAAGAAGCAGGTGGGATAGACAGAAAATGTCAGATATTGCTGTCCATTATCTTCTGTCCTCTGGACTCTTGCTTGCTGGGAGCCAAGATCTGGGGCTCACCCTCTCGAGAGAGCCACAATAAAGTTGGTTTTCTTGCTCTCTGTGTCCAGTGTGCCAACCTGCAGGCTGCCATTGCTGAGGCTGAGCAGCGTGGGGAGATGGCCCTCAAGGATGCCAGGGGCAAGCTGGAAGGTCTGGAGGATGCCCTGCAGAAGGCCAAACAGGACATGGCCAGGCTTCTGAAGGAGTACCAGGAGCTCATGAATGTCAAGCTGGCCCTTGATGTGGAGATCGCCACCTACAGGAAGCTGCTGGAAGGAGAGGAGTGCAGGTGAGTTCTCACCCTCCTCTAGCCTCTGAGGACACCTCCATGATGCCAGGCACTGAGTACAGGGTAGGGAGCACTAGCTGTGGCCACAGTGACTACCTTCAGGGACCACTGGACCAGGGATTCTCTGTGAACTGTCAAAAGGCTGAGGGTTCCCATGGAGACTGAGGTCATGGCTCCCTCTTTCTTACCTGTTCTGTTTTCTTCCAGGCTGATTGGTGAAGGCATTGGACCAGTCAACATCTGTAAGTAGTATGCTTGCCCGCCTGTCCTTCCCCTGCCTCGTGTCTGGATCACTGGACAGAGTGGGCTCACCGTGACCTTTGTCCCCTCTTGTGTCCTTCACAGCTGTGGTGCAGTCCACCGTGTCCAGCGGCTATGGCAGTGCAGGTGGTGCCGGCAGCAGCTTGGGCCTGGGAGGAGGCAGCAGCTACTCCTACAGCAGCAGCCACGGCCTTGGAGGTGGCTTCAGTTCTGGCAGTGGCAGAGGCATCAGTGGTGGCCTCAGCTCCTCTGGTGGCAGCTCTTCCACCATCAAGTACACCACCACCTCGTCCTCCAGCAGGAAGAGCTACAGGCACTGAAGTCCCTGCCACCAGGCAGAGTGTCCCTGATCCCCAGCTGCCCTGGCTGCAGAGCCCTGTGCTCGGGGGCTGTCCTTGCTGGCTTCCTTCCTCTGCTCTCTGGTTAGGGCTGAGGAACTGAGTCCTTGTTGCTTCTCTGTCTGCTCCCACCTGGGTCCCCGTTATTCATCTTCTTATTGTCATCCTCTGATTTCACATCATGACTCACTCACCATTGGTGCTGCAAATCGTAGGTAGGTTTCCAGGCACCCGCCTCACTAGCTCTGTCTCTGAGGCTGCCTGTGAAAGGGTGTCTCTGTCCCTGTTATGCTGGAAATTACTGGTGGGTTCTAACCAACTACATCGGAACTTCCCTTTAGTTTCCTATGGCCTGAGAAAGCCCTAATGTCAATATGGTGAACCTCCCTGGCAGTAACTGTGATAGCACGAGTCAAGAGTGCTGTGATGTACAGTTTGCTCTCATGTGATATCCTCTCTGCTCTTTGCTTTCTTGAAATGTCTAAATAAAGCAAGTTTATAACATCATGACTTCTTTCACGTGCATTTTTTGTGACAAATTGTTTCATATAGAAACTGTGCAACCTTCCTAGATGAGGCATGCAAATCCTCCTTTTTAATTGTTTGGGAAACTCATATGAGCATAGAACCTGATTTGAGAGGATCTACTCCTTATTACACTACCAATTCCTCCACTATGCCATTCCCATTTTCCCTCTGGCTTTATGCATTAGCTCTTGCTTTATAATTTTTCCCCAATGAGTTCACTTAGTGTTCCCTGTAGGTGCATGGTATAAGACAATTTAATGGAGCTTGGCCCTTTCAGGGGCCCCATTTCTGAAGAAAATTTACTCCCTTTTCCCTAGTAGTCATCAATATCCAAAAGTTTCTCAGCAAGATGGAAGTTTGTGAGCTCCTCCATGATCCCTGCTGGGAATTTTCTAGCCTCCACCTTGTGCTTGTCTTGTGGACCATAGCCCCTCATGTCAAGCATGCTCTTTCCCTGCTAATGTTCACTATCCCTGGCTCTTACAATCTTCCCTCCCTGTTCTGCAATGACCCCTGCACACTGAATGTGGAGGAGATGTGATGCAGCTGTCCTTTTAGAGGTGAACATTTCTCAGTCTCTTATTGTCTGCATGATGACCAGTTGTGGGTAGTCACCACTACTGAAAAAGAATCCCTTCTGAGTCGGCTTGTGATATGCACTAATCTATGGGTAAAAGATATGAACTTAGTGGACTGCTATTTATTATATTCATTTACCAGAATAATTTTTAAATTTAAATTAAAAACAATCTTATTTTATATGTGAATCTCAGTTCCCTCTCCCTCCTGTCCTCTCATACATCCTACCAACCCCATCATACACCCCTCAACTCTCTAGTGATGGTGGGGGCTTCCATGTGGGGTCATCAAACTCTGCCACATCATTTGGGGCAGGGCCTAGACCCTTCCCCATGTATCTAGGCTGAAAGAGTATCCCTCCACAGGGAATGGGCTCTCAAAGTCCATGCATTAGGGATAAATACTGCTTCCTCTGCCAGAGGCCCCATTGACTGTCCAGGCCTCCCAACTGACACCCATGCATAGGAGACCTTGTTTGATCCTATGCAGGTTTCCCAGCTGTCAGTCTGGAGTCTGTGAGCTCCTACTTGCTCAGGTCATCTGTTTCTGTGGGTTTTCCCAGCATGGTCTTGACCCCTTTACTCATTACTCTTCCTTCTCTACAACTGTATTCCAGGAAATTGGCTCAGTGTTTTGGTGTGGGTGTCTGCCTATGCTTCCATCAGCTACTAG